GCATATATGTTCAAGCAGTAGAAGTCTAGCAGCATATATATCTATGAGTGAGCGACGCATGTCCTTATCTTTGCATTAACTTTCCTTTCTTCATAGTAACGTTTTAAACCTTATTTTAGGTTTTGTCTGCTTTCCCGAAGTTTCTGTTAATATGTCATTGTATTTATCTGGATAAATATTGCCTTTCCTTTTGAAAGAGGTTTCAAAATAAACTATGTCTATATTTATTAATCCCTTGACTTGGACCGGTTTTAAAGACACTTTCTTATCGTTAAAAATTGTCGCTTTTGCCGATTGGTTGTTACCGATGGAATGGTTTTTATGCTCATAAAATGATGGGAGAACTTACAGCGCTCATCCTGTCCCCGTAGATGGGGGTGACTTGGTCCCGCAGTAGCTTGCCCCGGTTGTCAAAATGACCACGCGCCGCCACTGGCAAAAGCATTAAATTATGTGACGAACTTATCAGGCAGCAGTGCGTAAACTCTAGTATATTGAGCGTTCATGAGAGAATTACACTCAGGAATCAAACCATATGGATGCAAATCCTGTGGGAAGTGTTTCGCGTTGTCCGGAACTTTAACATAATATCTGTCAACTTTTTATCATCCATGGGACTATGTTAAAATCGCACTTACGTCAGTTACGTGTGACATATGCTACCCATGCGATTACAGTCCGGATATGACACAGGAAATTATACCACATACGTCAGTAATAAGCTTCGTGTGGTTCCAATTTTTAAACGGTTGAGTCAAGCAGACGTTTTATTTTTCATGCTCACGCGGTATCGCTAGGTAAGCAAGCAGGTAAATTACGTGGCTTGTATATAAAGATATTAAAGTATAATTTGCGATGGGAACTTTATTAGTGCTGAGAAGAGTGTGAGAGCTACATTGGTATAGATATCGGCCATTTGCAAATAATTGCTAGAAAAAAGATTCGCCGTTGTTGAATTGTTTGACTACCCGAAAATGATATTTATGGATTCTCAAATGAAATGCAGAACTGGTATGTCGCAAAGCACCACATTGACAGTATTTTCTGAAGGTTTTGAATCTTCAGGTACTCCTATACATTTTTTTATTACATCAATTCAATCTTATCTCTGATTTTACATTTATGAAAACGACTTGGAATCGGAATGCTATAACTTTGTGAATGAAATTCTGGTCTATGTTCAAAATGAGCTATGTGTCTTACAGGTAAGTTTTTGTTTGTTTTATGATAAAACATGGTTGGCAAAAGTCGTATGTTGTTGGATTCGTTCAAATCAAAAGAATATTGAAAATTGTAGTTTCGTTTACCAAAAGCTTTGCAGCATAGTTCGAGCATGTTTCCTAATTCTAATGATGTACAAAAGTGTATAGCGCTCATGATTACGGCCTTGTACGTACAGAAAATCATATTTTGACTAACTTGTTGTTATTATTGACGTCACATCCCCTCATTTTAAATCTGGTATGGTTAACAATATTAATATTCCGTGCTTCATTGTATTTAATTCTTATTTAAGAAATCAAGCGCATATTATTGGTATTCATATAAAATATAATGATTGGTTGAATAACTCGTTACTTATACCAGCGGTGTGCAACATTTTTCGCAGAGGGGCCTCCATTTCCGCACTTCCATTTAACATGGCTTTTTATTAGTTGCCCAAAATAGTGTCTTTTTGTTATTGATCTTTTGGCATTATTGGGAGTTCTTGCAGAAATGATGAGGTAAAACACATAATATTCTGGAAACTGTTTTATTCAAATTTATTGTCACACGGAATTTAGACAAATTCAGTGAGAAATTTGCTGCTGGTTTCTATCACGACTACTTTTATCCAAATTTGTTTCAATTGGAATGCCAGCAATTCGATATCTATTTTCCAAGTCTTCGTCTTTCAGGCGGTTTCATGATGCTCATTTTAGAAAAAAAATCTTTCAGTCGAAAAGTAACATATTTGATGCTTTGACCTTTTTCAAATGTGAAAAGTTGTCTTGGTTGAGATGTTTTCGGTTAAAATCGCCACGGTTCATTTCTAAATAATTTGCCGTCAAATCTTATTCCAAATTAAATTTAGACAAAATCTACTGATAAGTGGGAACTGAAACTTATTTAACCTTTGTTTCTCTTAATATTGCAATTTTTTCAAATTGCTAATTGCCTATTCTTCGCTCGCTGCTCAGTAAGTGACAGCTTTGTGAATCGCGTTGTTCGCTTCGCTGTTAGGACATTGTAACGTCATAGATGATAAATTGGACTCGGATATGAGCTTTGAAACGCAAAGAGAACCAGATTGAACTAAATTAAAAACTCGATTCGGTGAACGCACACCATTCATAATTGACTCTTCTCCGCGGGCCGTACTTTGCATACCTCTGGTTTATATTATTATTGATTATGGCTATTATTGATTATGGCAGTGCTTCCCAACACGAGTCCGCGGTGTCGAATGAGTCCGCAACGAGCCAGAAATTTACTGCGGGCCGCAAACGTTTTTGCGAAACTTAACTATCAGCCAAGTTGCGATTCACGTTAGAATTTTCACAAAACATAAAGAGCAAGTTTATTCACATAACATTAATCGTGTCAATAAATAATGGTTACTGAGTAGTGCTGGGCATATATTCGAATATTCTACGATTAGAATAGCAATTACTATTCGAAAATTGGTAACAAGTGGCGCGACAGGTCACTTGCGCGTCGCTTAATCAAACGATTGGATTTCACAACTCACTTGGCGGATTTCCGACGAAAACACACGAGTCTGCACCAACTCTGGCTCGATCTAACTTTGTGGGCCTAGCACCAACTACAGACGACAAAACTGTTGGATCTATTTTGTTCCCTCCATATAGGTTGTTACCAATGCTGGTGAAGGCTTGTACATGCTTTGGCTCAGCGGAAAATTTTTTATTCCCCTCAATGTTGGTTAGTCCAACGATATGGCAACAAGCACCAGTAGTTCTGATGAATATGTAACAATTTTTAAACCAGTTTATCACTATAACATCATTAGTCTTGTAATTTTATGTGGTATGTATTCGATCATAATACCTCAATAAACCTGTTGAATCTAACCTTTCGATAGTATATTTGCACCCATCTTACTGAGCTAATAAATCTGTGTTTCTATGACACAACAGAAACTTAGTGCCCTCAACGTGCCTAGCATGTACAAATTGCATCAGAGACTTGGTGACTATCAAGCGACACCACTATTTGAAGATGATGTGGTGGCAGAGACTCCTGAACTTATCTATAGCACTTGGCTTTGAAATCTAGCGTTGAACCAAGATTGACGACTGAACCATCACGACTGAATCTGAAAAAAATATTCAACTGTTCATAATTACAAATTGCTGTAGTTTGTGCAATGTTTCCAAGAATGTATCTAAAAGACTTGTTAAACTGCCCTTTCATTTCTATACTAAACCCACCAATTCAGTCCTAACTTGGTCGCTATCTATTAGTCTATGAACCATGGGATACGGTACCGGTAGTCACGCAGGTCTCCCAGTCCTCTGACATTCTTCAACCATATATGTTTAAGTATCATCTTTCAATGAAAAGTTTTGTATCCTTCTCCAGCTGGTGGAAAGAAAAATTCTTGGAGAACCAAGTCATAGAAAAAGCATCCCTGAGTGATTCCATTTTTGTATGTTAAATAAGCTTTTGGAACTAAGTTATGTACGGTAACGGCAATGTGAAGGCGGAATAACGTTAATAATAGATCACTTGACAATATGGTATAACTTTAGAGGCACGAAAATACCGCCATCACCAGTGAAATGCCATTCGAAGGCCTTTAAAACGAGCAACGTACCAGTTTATCGCCCTACACAAGTCTGAATATTCGCAATGTTTGTCTGAGCGACCAAAATCAAAACAATAAAGATCGGATAAAGGTCCATTGGTTCTTTACACAGAGTACGATTGCAATAAACGTACCTTGAGTCCGCAAAGGTTTTCGCCGGTGAGAAAATGGTCCGTGAACAGAAAAGGTTGGGAAACGCTGGATTATGGACACGCAGATGGAAAGGAATAACTTTAGTGATCAGAATGAAATTTAGGTTACAAGCTTTAACAGACATGTTGAGAATATCAGACTGAAATTTATGAATACTATAATCGCCACGCTTTTCAAATGCATAGAGGCAAATTGTGGTATCCGTTACCTTGCGCACGAAGTATGCGATGAAAATATTTAGTGTAAAACGAAGATTCGGGCAGTTAATATACTATACGTGGCCATAAATAAAAATATTTTGTATTTATTTCCGTTAAAAGCACCAAATTATGGGCCTAATTCAAAAAATTATGAAATTGTTGGCTAAATTTAATTGCCTGTGCTCTTGATTGTTTGGTTATAGAGGCATTCGTCTGGGTGATAATTCGATGTTTATTTGAGATAAATAGGCTTGGCATGGATGTACATCGAAAATGATGCAATGAACTACTTTTTAAGACTAGGTGGTTTTGGCATGAATAAAATGTACGAATTTGCCAGTTGTGACCTACTAAACTACGATGTATGAATTTAACTTGCTTATACTCTTGGTAAAAGGTGGCAGTTTGTAAATTATTTCAAATTTATTGTTAAAAGTGGGTTATCATGCGAACATTTTTGTGGAAGATTTGATTCTATATAATTTTTTGAGATCTTTGACGTTTACCGCTTGCATGAAGTGGACCTAGTTTTCTACTTCTGAATTTTTAAAAACCACTTCAGAAAAAATCGACCGCAGTTCGGAAACGGCCTTTGATGACGTAGTAGTAAGAACTCATTCCAGATCTTACCTTTGACCTCTTAATAAATTATGTAGAATCAGATTTGCTACAGAAACGTTTGCGTGATAACCGACTTTTAGCGAAAACTTCATTCAATCTCGACTCTCCCTCGGGTCTGATGTTCACATAACACAAATCTTGTTCGTCTGTAAAGGTTAGAAAATGAAGACAAATGCAGCGTATAATAGCCACGTGGAAACTTGTGCTGAAAATAAACTTCATGTTTGCGAGCAGCGTGGGAAGTCTTTCAAGACAGAAAGACATTTTCGGTTGCATACGAAGGTCACATAGAAGAGGAAGTCAATGTTTGTGCTTTTTGTGGGAAATGTTTTACAACGTCCGGCAATTTAAAGGTTCATGAGCGAATTCACACAGGAGTAAAATGCAAATCTTGTGGAAAATGTTTTACGAGTGCATCATATTTGAATATTCATACCCGAATTCACACCGGCGAGAAGCCATTCACTTGTAAACATTGTGGGAAATGTTATACAAGGTCGGGTAATTTAAAGGAACATGAAAAATCGCATACAGGAATCAAACCTTATGCATGCAAATCCTGTGGAAAATGCTTTACAAGAGTCAACACTTTGAATGTTCACAACCGAATCCACACCGGGGAGAAGCTGTTCACTTGTAAGCATTGCGGAAAAAATTCTACAACGCCGCATAATGCAAGAGTTCATGAAAAAACGCACACAGGAATCAAACCACATAAATGCAAATCCTGTGGAAAATGCTTTGCAAGAGTCCACACTTTGAATGTTCACAACCGAATTCACACCGGGGTGAAGCCGTTTGATTGTCAACATTGTGGAAAATCTTTTACAACGTCGGGTAGTTTGAAGGTACGAGAGAATCCACACAGAAATTAAACCATATAAATGCAAATCCTGTGGAAAACGTTTTACGAAAGCCTCACATTTGACTAGGCATACCCGAACTCACACCGGGGAAAAGCCATATGATTGTAAACATTGCGGAAAATGTTTTTCCACAAGTGGAAATTTGAAAAATTCACATCTTAATTCACACTGAAGAAAAACCATTCACTTGTGAGCATTGCGGAAAATGCTTTACAGACAGTGGGAGTTTGAAAAGACATATCCGAATCCACACCGGCGAAAAACCTTATGCTTGTGAACATTGCCGAAAATGTTTCAGAACGTCGAGTAATAAGAATAAACATGCACTAACTCATACTAAATCAGTAAATACGAAATAATTTGCTAGTAAGTTTCAGTCACAAAAAATTAATATAAAGAGACACCTGATAATGGAGTTGACATCGCATTCCCGTTTTGATTTTTGGGAAACATGATGAAATAAATATGAAAGTAATTTGAGACAAACAAATTATTGCGACTCAGAGAAAAAAATATTGGCAATTTAATGAAGTGAACTCAACCCATAGATCAATAAAAACCCTCAAATTTGATAGCTTTTACTCGCATTAATAGCATATGACAATTTAAAAACGCGTACATGTCTTGAATTTAATAAGTTTCGTATACCGAATTTGACACTCAAAAACACCAATTCGAATTATCATTCCTAATTCGTAAAATAATTATAATAGTGTGGTTGATTGCATTTTCGACGGATATTCCTTTAACTTTTTTTCCTAACAATCTGCCATTTATACTCGTTAAACATTGAAACAGTACTTCGTTGGAACGTATGTTTAATCGCATTTGTTTGGGACTTATTTTTCGTTGTCGCTGCTTGAAGACCTTTCGAGGTACCTCGCCACTCCTGTCACACAATTTAACTTGGTCTTTTTTGTTTGCTTTATATTTACCTCGTGATGTAACTATATTGTATTAACAAATAAATGATGACTGATTGAATGTTTTGATTTGTGGGATTGGATGTTATTAGTACGTTCATTGTTTCAACTTTTGCAAGAAATATAATACAGTGAAATGTGTTATGTCGTATTTTTTGCATAGGTTCATTTCGCGGCAAAATTGGGCGAAGGCGCGCTTTGTTGTCCGTTATTTCATGGAAAGTCAATTGTCTGCCTAATCAAACATCTGCAAAATAGAATTAAGCAAGATGAAATCACGCAACCTTTAAGAAATAATTCCGCAGTTTTCTATTGCTTCGAAGATTAATTCAAAGCTTTATAAACCAACCGTAGAGTTTAATACAATGAAATCACGCGACTGAATGAAAAATCATCAAATTCAAAATCATTAAAAATCGAGCATTGCCTGGCGCTTTCCCCGTCATTATCACCACAGCAATCGCGTGTCCGGTTCTTATTTTTTTCACTAGCTTTAGTTATGAACGCCAAGTCAATTCAACAAAGTCGCCTTATTGGTCTTCGATTAGATGGCTTCATATTATAAGTGAAAGATCACTTATGCGCACTAGACAAATTTCCGTTTCAATGTAAATCAGACCAGCGAAACAATATCCAGCAATCGCCGGTCCCCAATGACCGATATGACTAGCTTTGAAGACAAAATTTTAATAAAATAATTTTAATAAAAAAGTTAGTTACAAGAAGATAGGTAGGTATACGCTAACTATCCAATTTGATTGATAGTACGCTGAATTTAAAAACACTTTAAGAAACTCAAGTCTGTACACAAGAAAACCCGACATCACAACACACGTCCCTCGTCGCGAAAGGTGATGGTGACATGGTCAAATTACTGATGAATGAATAAATAGGTTAAATCATCAGGTCCGCCGTATCTTATTGACTTCCGAACTGTAGTGTTACGACTGTTTGAAAATTGCAAGTCGTATTGTCTTATAAAACGGTACTTGTCGCGAAAAAGCCGCGCTAGTTGTAATTATTTCGTCACAGAAATAGGCACACTAGCGTGTCTAATGTATGTTCAGTAGCAGTAGTTAGGAAACCTATTGGCTAAAATATCTCGTGTATATTTAGGATATGTGTCCTAAATATAACTTTAACCGGCGTACGATATCTTCATTACTTATCGATTTTAATTGGTAAGTATGTTGATTGGTAGGTATTTGTCTGTCTGTCTGTTAGATGCACGCGATATCTCACAAAAGCGAGATTGAATCTGCTCCAGATTTTGCATGTGCATTCATCATATGTAAGACCAAAAGCCCATTGATTTTGGATGAATTGTGTCGTATAATTAGCGAGTTATTAATTAATTAGTGATGGGACACAAGGTGTCACTATGGAGTGAGAGCGCTGTTTTGGGGGATCCCCTAATCTTTGATCGATAAGTCTTCGGTCTCTGACCGATATTCTCGTTATCTCTTTGGTCTTCTTCTCGTTGTTCGGGTATGTACTACTATGTATGCGCTCGCCCCCAGTAGACAATAGATGACGGCAGACAAACGACAATTCTTCTTTCGACAACATCAAGGTTGTACTACAAGACTGGTTGCTACAAGACTACATCTTGCAAGACTACCTAGTACTACAGCGAAAGCTAACGTTATATACAGACTTTCAACGATAATTATGTCTCTCCCAGGATTCCAACACAATCATATTTTTAAAGCCTTGTATAAGGTTTTGATCTATAAATCGATATACCGAGGATAACAATGGTCAATCCAATTATTTTCTGGTTGACATCTGATTGATGTTATTTTCAAATTGGACAAATTTGGTCAATACTCATATTCAGCCTTTTTCTTAGCTTTTAGAAATGTTCGTCAAAATTACTAATCTCTCCCTATATATATCTAAAATTCATAGGCAACTACGGATGTTAGCAAAACGTCGATAGGTAGATGCCCAATGCCACTTATCTACATCAAACTTCGATAAACCGCGAATAAAGCGCGACGGCACGATTGGGGGTTCAGGGCGCGTTGAAACGCCCGGAGAAAATTTTGAAACTTAGGCACGAAAATAATCTGCAAAATTGATTTTAGATACACCTAGCATCCCAGTTTGTTATGTAATAAAATTAAAAATATTAATAGTTAGGTGATAGAATACCCGAGGAATAAATAACAAGCACGACCTGATAGTGACTAATTAAGTTGCTGAACTAGCATGCGGTCCCGTAGAAATGGCTACTTGTGAGTTGTTTTGTTACACAAAAAACATCCCCAGTTCACATGTATAAAAAAAACGAATAACGCATTCAAAAAATTGTCTGTCAGTCTGAACCGAAGTTTTGATTTGTTAGGTTCATAATTGTGTTGTTTTGAAGACTGATGCTGGAAAACTTATATTTTATATCAGTAGAAATGACTTCCAAAACTTCCCCTTCAATAAACGATGTTGCCGGCTACAATGCAACTGGCTAATAACGTAGATTCACTTTCATTTAATATTTATTTGAACATGCGGGTTTGACGTTTGTATGAATTAAATTTTGAAATACACGCGTCAACTGATCATAATCTGAAGTATGCTTCGTCTTATAATGACGGCTAATGTTGTATTCTTTCAGAACTGGAATATTTTGTTGACCAGGGAGACAAATCGCTGAAGTTTGACTCTAACCAATATAGAAACGAGAATATCGACCGACTTATCGATCGAAAGTTAGGGAATCCCCCAAAACAGAAACTGCGGTTTCGAATTCGATTCATCTGCTCTCACTCCATAGCGAAACCGTGTGTACCATCACTAACTAATTAATAACTCACTAATTATACGACATAATTGATTCTGGTCCGAGATATGATGAATGCATGTGCAAAACTTGGAGCAGATTCAACCTCGCGTTCGTGAGATATCGCGTAACATACGAAAGTGTCAACAGACAGACAGACGAATACATATCAACATACTTACCGATCAAGTTCGATAAGTAATAAGAACGCTGCCATTCATCTGTTTTCATTGTCTAGTTTTCGTTTTGTGACATCTTCAAGGTTTCTTAATATACGGCTGATACTTAAAATACTGTCGTAGGCCTATGTAATTCTAATGCTGGTACGTATACAAAATATACCGATGTAATTGAGTTGTTACGAAATACTCGTGCTTGAACTGCGATAATGGTGTAACAATTGGCGGTATCTGAAACGCAAACACAAAAAGTGTTAAACGTATTAGTATTTATTTGCAGTTCAAAGTTCAACCGTTTGAATATTTCACTTAAGTTCGGGGGCCATTTTAAGTCGTTACGCGGGCCGTAATTGAACTAATTGAACTGCGATAATGGTGTAACAATTGGCGGTATCTGAAACGCAAACACAAAAAGTGTTAAACGTGTTAGTATTTATTTGCAGTTCAAAGTTCAACCGTTTAAATATTTCACTTGAGTTTGGTGGGCCATTTTAAGTCGTTACGCGGGCCGTAATTGGCCCGCGGTTTGGTAACTCCTGATCTACACTGATAACTATGCCATATTCTATATATTTAAATACAATTAGACCTGAGCTGGGAATTACAGTGTGGAATCGCACTTCAAAATTAGGGGAGGGGGTGTTCACCCCCTATAGGGGGTGTAGGGAAATCACCGAATGCAACACCAAGAGTTTACTCCTAAAATATTATAAGTATGTAACTCGTGACTCTGTGGAAATTTTGTTCGACGTTGTTATTGCAAACACAATACCAGTTCTGCGAAATAGGATAAAAAAAACTTTAATGTCCACAGCGGCCCATGATTACTTGAAAAAAAGAATTGGCAAAAATTATTGTTTAATTACGTTAATGTGTCGGCCGGGAAATAATCGCGCCGGATTTCCAAACAATCCAATGCCTTTGGTCGCTCGCAACAAACTCACAGTACTTTTAAGCCAGTTAAGCAAGTGATAGGATTGTGCATGGCTATCTTCCAAAGATGACAATGGTTACATTGTAAAAATTACTTCAAAATTATTATTTATATTTTCAGGTAATATAGTACATTCGAAGCGAACTCAATATACTTTAATATTAATATTTGAATGTTTCATTCTGGACTATATTTTTGGCTTCCACTGCAGTAAAGCAGTAAAGGCATTAAGTGCAAACGAGAGACCGAAGGTTAGGAGATCCCCCAAAACAGCGCTCTTACCCCAGAGTGACACTGTGTGTCCCAGCACTAATTAATACGACATAATTCATCCACAATCAATGGACTTTTGGTCCGAGCTATGATGAATGCACATGCAAAATTTGGAACAGATTAAACCTCGCTTTCGTGAGATATCGCGTGCATCTAACAGTCAGACAATCAAACAAATACCTATCGATAAGTAATAATAGCTGAATTTCACATAGGGCAGTTTTAAATAACTTAATCTCTTCCACGCCTTTTATCGTGCATGGGACTATGTTGAAGTCGCATGCGAGTACAGTCCGGATATGACACAGGAAATTATACTACATACCGAATGGTTCCAAATTTCAAACGGTTGAGTGAAGCGAAGGCTTGACGCGGTGTCGCTGGTTAAAACGCAGTGAAAGGAACGTTTTATTTTTCATATTCACGCGGTATCGCTAGGTAAGCATGCAGGTAAACTGCGTGGAATGTGTATAAAGATATTAAGTGTAATTCGGGATATAAACTTAGTTTAGTTAATGGCGAGAAAGTGGGGAAACTACATTGATATAGATATCGGTCAATGATCTACTTTCAGAATCGGGTTGAGTTTATTGTTTAACTAAACTACCTGGGTTTGTGGTTTTGGTTTCAATTTTTCACTTTCTCGAAATATATTCACCCTGGCTTAAATGCATAAAACATAAATGCGCTAGCTATAATAATGGGAATTGGCAAAATACATACAGCACATTTTTAGTTAAGATATGGGCGTTTAAAACTTTTGTCCGAAGTTAGGAACTGTCCGACGTTCGGCGATTCGACGGCAGTTGCGAGCTCCTCTACTACAATGTATTACCTCATGTGATGAAATTTAATCAGCACCACCTGATGTGGCCAACGTGCCACCATTGCCAAGCGAAGATGTTAATTGTCACGTGACAAAGCAATTCTTGGATTTTATTTGGTTAGCGATGGACCTTTCCCCGAGCATCGACTTCCTTGTTTACTCTGTGACATTGGCCAATCAGCAAGATGCAAAAAGTGACGTAACAATGCTCCCTTTTGGATTCCGCTCAGACACTTGTCTCACTCAGACAGATTTTCAAGCGTTGTTGTAAACATTACCTCGTTTTCGCGTTTTTGAACTCTATTCGTTAGTTTTCAGTTGTGTTTCGGAAACTTAAATAAAAAATCAGATAATTCAATGATCACTATGTCTTCCTAGGAGTTTTAATTTAAATGCAGTAAGAAAAATTAGTGTAGAAATAGCTGTGATACCCTAGCCTGAAACTCTTTACCGGTACTTTTAAAAAACAGATTGTTGTGTGCGATGAATCATAATGATGGTTTGAAACACATACCCCATTTATACAGGCGCCAACTCGCAAATACACTACTGAAAGGCCCTGAAAATTTTCAATGGTAAAGTATAGGAAGAATTTTCCGGGGGTCAAAGGTCGGGGAAAGGTCCATTAGCGTGCGTTTGCATGATTGCTGCTTGTTGTTGTTATATTTTTAGTATAGTAGTGATGGATTATATGGAATATTATATCTGATGGAATTATCTTGATATTACTGGTATATATGTTTGTTCACTTACGGTACACAATATATCTTTATTTATATTTAATTTATTTATTATTCACATATTGAATAATCCACATTGTGGATCCATTTAAAAAAAAAATGTATAGTAGTGATGTTTATGTTAATAAAATACTAGAAAACGGATTAAATGAGTTTTCCTTGGATGTTTTCATTACACTTTAGCTTCCTTATACCCCTTATTAACAGATGACAGTGTATCGCTCTAAATTTAGTTATTTCGATCTATACATTAAAATTCAAAAAGTAAATAATTACTCTGAATTTCTTCAGGTTATCATCTACTGTACCGTATATCTTGTCTGACTGTAAAAAAGTCGCAAAATGAAAACCATCTCTACAACGTTTGAGAGCCACAAGGAAACCTAATCAAAATAAATTACATGTTTGCAAACATTGTGGGAAGTCTTTTAAGGCAAAAAAGGATTTACAAATACATACAAGAGTGCATACCAGAGAAAAAACCTATGCTTGCGATTTGTGAGGAAAATGTTTTATGCCGTCAACTAACTTGAGTGTTCATATGCGAATCCACACAGGAATGAAACCATATACATGCAAATTTTGCCGGAAATGTTTCACATCAAATGGCGATTTGAAAAGACACATTTTAACTCACACCGGAAAAAAATCATTCACTTGTAAACATTGTGGAAAATGTTTCAGACAGGGTGGACATTTGAAAAGACATATTTTATCTCACACCGGAGAAAAACCATCCACTTGTAAACACTGTGGAAAATGTTTTGCAGAAAGTGGAACTTTGAAAAGTCATATTTTATCCCACAGCGGAGAAAAACCATTCATTTGTGAACATTGCGGAAAGTGTTTCAGCCAGAGTGGAACTTTGAAAAGACATATTTTAATTCACACCGGGCAAAAACCATTCACTTGTAAATATTGCGGAAAATGTTTTACCGAAAGTGGACATTTGAATAGACATATTCTAACTCACACCGGCGAAAAACCATTCACTTGTGAACATTGCAGAAAATGTTTCACAGATAGTGGAAATTTGAAAAGACATATTTTATCTCACACCGGAGAAAAACCATTCACTTGTAAACATTGTGGAAAATGTTTTGCAGATAGTGGAACTTTGAAAGGTCATATTTTATCCCACAGCGGAGAAAAACCATTCATTTGTGAACATTGTGGAAAGTGTTTCAGCCAGAGTAGAACTTTGAAAAGACATATTTTAATTCACACCGGCGAAAAACCATTCACTTGTAAACATTGCAGAAAATGTTTCACAGATAGTGGAAATTTGAAAAGTCATATTTTAACTCACATCAGGGAAAAACCATTCACCTGTGAATATTGCAGAAAATGTTTCAGCCAGAGTGGAAATTTGAAAAGACATATTTTATCTCACACCGGAGAAAAACCATTCACCTGTAAACACTGTGGGAAATGTTTTGCAGACAGTGGAAGTTTGAAAACACATATCCGAATCCACACCGGCGAAAAACCTTATGCTTGCGAACATTGCGAAAAATGTTTTACTCAAAGTGGGAATTTGAAAAGACATACTTCAATTCACACAGGAGAAAAACCTTATGCTTGTGAACATTGCGGGAAATGTTTTATAACGTGGAGTAATATGAATAAACATACACTAATTCATACTAAATCATTAAACACGAAATAATTTGCTAGCAAGGTTTAGTCACAAAACGAAATTTAAATGGACACCTGATAAAGGGAAATAACCATGCTGGGAAAACATGATAGAATAAATATAAATTATTGCGACTCAAAGTGAACCCAACTAATGTATCAAAACAAACCCTCAAATTTGATAGCTTTCACATGCCATCACCTTTTATTCATTAATCCATAAATTTGCCGTTTTTTGTGAAAAAATTTCCAAGCGTTCCTTCTTCATGCATCAGTATTTTTTTGTTGAAGACGTATTTTTGTGCTTGTTGACTCATGATGATGATTTCAAAATTGGATTTGTAAATATACAAAGCTCCTGTGTCACCTATATCAGTATTTGTTTGAGTTGGTGGGGTTTATCATGGTTAACTTGCAAGAACGTTTTCAGCTTTATGAATCAACGGTATAACATGATAAAGTCGTAACGGCAGAGCATGGAACATAATGATGATTTTAACTCGTTTTTTTTGTCTTGGATTTATCTTATTGCAATAACACGATTTCAAACAGGCAGTTTTGACTTTAATCAAAGGTTTTCTCGTATGTCATGAAATGTAATGCTGATTACGGAGAATAGATTAATGTTAGAGGCAACACGGGTTGTCAAAGCTTTAGCTCTTGGCTCTACTCGAAGGCGCAACGTAAAACTCCCGGAAAACCACTTATAACAGAATAATGTAGTTCTTTCTCAGAAGAATTCATATGAATAATGCAATAATTCAGTCCATGGCAAAATGAAAAAAAAACAAAAAAAGTGTATTATGACAGACTTGCATCACATTAATGCGACCAATTTTCACTGTTTGCCACTTATACTTTGAAAATCACTGTGATGTGTAATTAGTGAGGAATATTTGCCTTCTTTTCATTGAATACCTACTGTTTTTGACAAAAAAATGCTGTGACCACTTTGATGCACGGTGTCGCAGGCTGCCAATAGCTGCTATAATACAGTATATACACTGATTGCACGATTTCCATATTTATTTATATGTGATGAAGTTCCCACTTCGCTCTCAACCGTGGCTGTGCGCTATTATATAAAATAAACACAAAACACTGTCACCAAATTTTACAAGAAAGAATCAAAAAGACTTAGATGGGAATGAGTATACTATTCTAAAGTGAAATATTATATATATATTTATCTAGTGTTATGCGCAAATCGCACTCCCGCTTCTTACAGTTTAAGTTGTTTATAACGTGTTCATAAATAGGTAGTGTGATTAATTTGCCAGCAAAACAATGTAAAGGAGGCTTATGAGCATTCACATTTTCGGCACTAAATACACAGTTACCATTTGTATCACTGATTCGCTAAAAGTTATAAATGAATTTTTGGTTTAGGGCTACATTTTTGGCTTCAGTATGTGAGAGTTTTAAACCAACATAATCAGTTTTAAACATTCTATTTCAGAAAAAGTTATTGTCACTATATATATTGTAGAAAGCCAGACAACCTTATCCATTCTCTTTTATACCATATACTAACCCAAGAATTTTTATATGCATAATTAAAATAGTGAATATCGGGGGAGCTGACTCTGATGACCGTATGGTCGTATCGCTCCTCCCAGTCTATACCGAAGAACCCTACATGTCATTGTATATATTTTTATTGTTGCTATTGTTTCAGTATTTTTTTTTCTGGTTGACGAAAAATAAATCTCTCTCTCGGCTGAATCAAGAATCTGATTGAAGTGACCATGCTTGTATGTTAAATGGGATATATGTTTTGAAAATGTCTACTTTATTTTGAATTGTATGAAAATCACCAGAGGTTAAAACAGCCTGAGAAACAATAATCCTGCACAAAATAACATAATATCTGTCAACTTTTTATCACGCGTGGAATTATTTTGATATTGCATTCACGCGTGACATACGCTGCCCATACGAGTACAGTCCTGATATGACACAGGTAGTTATACCGCATACGTCAATAACTAGCTTCGGGTGGTTCCAATTTTCAAGCAGACGTTTTATTTTTCATACTCACGCGGTATCGCTAGGTAAGCAAGCAGGTAGCAAGAAACTTAGTTTTGTTAGTGCCGAGAAAAGTGGGAGAACTACATGGGTATAGATAGGGGTCTCCCTAAAACCAGGCACTTGCGAATTCAGGCACTTTGATATTTTTTATTTTTACCGTACGTCATTGGGGTTTCCAATTTACCTGACAAGATAATTAGACTTTAAATAATTTTTTGCATCCCTATATTATTTCCAATTTATTAGGGTATAAATAATTTTTCAATATTAAAATGTGGCAACATTGATTACAAAATACAGAAATCAGGCACTTGTGAAATTTCAGGCACTTGGTCAAAACCTATTTTACAATGTATCTGATTACTCTAAAGCAGAAAATTAAATAAATACACTTTGTATGGTTGAATTCACAACATTTTGGTAAAATACAATACCGTTTGTGACTGATGGGACGTGTCATATTTCGCAAGTGCCTGATTTTTCTCGGTGACAGTTGCCATATTTTTTCGCAATTATTTTCTTAAATTATTTGCGTCAGCACTTACTATTCTTTGCTTTCTAAAGCTAATTCATTGTTCCACAACAATTTGAGCATTTTTAATATTGCAATGAGCAATACCATTTGACAACATATGGTCAACCATCGTACTTTCTGGATTTATTTGAAATTGAATATGAATAATAAAATCTGGCAACCCCAAGCACGAAATACTAAAACCAGGCACTTGTGAAATTTCAGGCACTTCGTAAAAATCTATTTTTCGATGTTTTTACTTACTTTGAAGCAGAAAACTAAAATATACACTCTTTTGTATGATTGAAATGACGTCTTTTTGGTAAAAAACAAGAACGATTGGGACTGGTGATGAGGGGTCAAATTTCGCAAGTGCCTGATTTTTCATTTTTTTCGATAACAGTTGCCATATATTTTTGCAACAATTTTTCTAGATTATTTGCGTCAGCACTTACTATTCTTTGCTTTCTAACGCAAATTCATTGTTCCACAACAATTTGAGCGTTTTTAATATTGCAATGAGCAATACCATTTGACAACATATGGTCAACCATCGTACTTTCTGGATTTATTTGAAATTGAATATGAATAATAAAATCTGGCAACCTTAAGCACAAAATACTAAAACCAGGCACTTGTGAAATTTCAGGCACTTCGTAAAACCTATTTCTCGATGTTTTTACTTACTTTGAAGCAGAAAACTAAAATATACACCCTTTTGTATGATTGAAATGACGTCTTTTTGGTAAAAAACAAGAACGATTGGGACTGGTGATTGGGGGTCAAATTTAGCAAGTGCCTGATTTTTTATTTTTTTCGATAACAGTTGCCATATATTTTTGCAACAATTTTTCTAAATTATTTGAGTCAGAACTTACTAATCATTGCTTTTTAAAATAAATTCCTAGTTCTACAACAATTTCAGCGTTTTTACAATGAGCAATATTATTTGACAACATATAGATAACCATCGTACTTTTCGGATTTATTTGAAATTGAATAGGAATGATAAAATCTGGCAACGCCCAAATGGAAGATTGAACAAGGCGGAGTCAACAAAAATTCAATCACATTTGGAACGTTGTCGCACTGCATCGTCGCCACTCATATACTCTGACATTCCGATGCATGAATTTTGCTTTCTGGAAAATAATAATTGGAGTGTCTGTTAAATTGCGAACTGTATACGGGAGCACGTACAATACCAATGCTGCGTTTGCAAGCGTTGGTATCATGATACATGTAAGAAAGTATCGAAAGCGAAATTGTGAAAGTGTAAAAGTTGTATTCGGTAAGTCGGTGTTGCAAATGTGGGTATTTTCAGGGCGCTCCCGTAGTAGCCTATGTGCTCCAAGATGGCGCACAATCTAATACCTCTATCTTGGTACATATACTATGTTCGGGTTGTGTGCCAACTTTGTGCACATACTACGGGAGCACCATTTTCTGCACAACCTATTCTGATGCTCATTCGCGACATGAAGAAACTATACGCCCGACATAAAAAAGTAGCAAAATATACACAAAACCTTTTCATGTTTAATTTCAGAACTAAACAAACAAGATACGTAAATCATATCATGTCAAAATAGAACAAATAGTAAGGATTTTCATTGGATACTCAATATTTCTAATAATTTTCAAACTGAAAGCTTCGATTAGTGTTCACTCATACACTTCCTTTGTGAAGTGTTTTTAATGTTTTATCTCCTTAATAAATTTAAATTCAAATCCCCAATTACTGATGGAGAAAGATCTATAATCGAGAGTTTAATACGGCTTCTGTGATATAAAAAACAATTACTGTTTCACGTTTTTATATATTTTTGTAACTTTTTGAATAACGCAAAAAAAAATCGTTGACTGACTACTGGCGTGTTGAATATTGAGGATTTTTATTGTAACATTCGTTTAACGATGCTTTTAAGCCTAACTTTGGGCATATCAGCTACCTGATGTCATTCGCCGAGCGAATTTTGTTTAGGTGACATCTCGTATTTACTATCCTGTAGCCATTCTTCTTATTTAGGAACTACGTGTTTTACAGTTAGCTGTTACAGCATGAAATAATGTACAAATAATTCTACGTAAACTATCCATGAAAAGATATTACAGTCAGATCTTCAGGTTCTAAAGAATATTATACAACAACAATAGCAAGTGATTGAATATCTTTATTGTAGCCGTGGTTGAACACCGCTGGTTTCAAGGGTTCCGAACATTACTATAAAGATGTCGTCTGAATAACTAATATTCCCTACAGATCTGTCAAATTTAAACTCGTATTTAAATAATACATATGTCATACTTATGAATTAATAAAAATAAACAACACAATGCCATTCAAACTTTACAATATTCAAATAGTTTTGCAAAAGCGTGATTGGTTTAATTAAATATCGATTTCCGGATGTAGATACTGATGTTAAAAGTTTTATTCCATTTATGCTAAGTGGAGCTCTCATACAAACATTGGCTTTTATAAAATAATGCAATAGGGAAACAACATATAAAAAAAAAGACAAAAATTATATAGAGATATGGCAACTACCATTGACAAAACCAAAAAATCAGGCACTTGCTAAATTTGCCACATTCCTACCAGTGACAGTTCTTCTTGTTTTGGACAATAAAAATACCAAATTCAGTCAAACAAAATATGTATATTTGGATTTTCGGCTTTAAAGTAATCAAAAACATCGGGAAATGTTTTCTTACAAAGTGCCTGAAATTTCACAAGTGCCCGATTTTAGTATTTTGTGCTTGCGGTTGCCAGATTTTATCGTTCCTATTCAATTTCAAATAAATCCAAAAAGTACGATGGT